TCCTACTTCAGCCTCCCCAGTAGTTGGGATTACAGGTGCACACAACCATGCCTGGCTAATTTTTGAATTTTCAGTGGAGATGGGGTTTCACCATGTTGGCCAGGGTGGTGTCAAACTCGTGGACTCAAGTGATCCGCCCAACTTGTCCTCCCAAAGAGCATGGATTACAGGGGTGAATCACCGCACCCAGCATACTACATTTCTTTTTTGAACATGTTCTCTACTTCGTGTCCTCATTTCTACATTGGTTAAGTTCTTTGTTTCAGCCAGCTCTCAGTGAAAGGCTACATCACTATTGCTTCAGACAAGCAGCATTGGAATAGTTCATCTTGTTTATTTTTGTTTATTTATTTGGTTTTTTTTTGAGAGTGAGTCTCACTCTGTCACCTGGGTTGGTGTGCACTGGAATGATCTCGGCTCACTGCAACCTTCACCTCCTGGCTTCAAGTTATTCTCCATCCTCAGCCTCCTAAGTAGCTGAGACCATAGGTGTGTGCCACCACGCCCAGCTAGTTTTTTTGTTGTTTTTTGTATTTTTAGTAGAGACAGGGTTTCACCATGTTAGCCAGGACGGTCTTGATCTCCTGACCTCATGATCTGCCTGCCTCGGACTCCCAAAGTGTTGGGATTACAGGCATGAGCCACCACGCCCAACTGTTCATTTTTTGTAAGAGACAGAGTCTCTCTCTGTCACCCGTGCTGCAGTGCAGTGGTGTAATCATGGCTCACTGCAGTCTCACTCTCCCAGGCTCAAGTGATCCTCGTGCCTCAGCCTCAGAAGTAGCTGGAACCACAGGTGCATGTGACCACATCTGGCTAATATTTTATTTTTTGTAGCACAAGATCTCCCTATGTTGCCCAGGCTGGTCTCGAACTCTTGGCCTCAAGCAATCCTCCTGCCTCAGCCTCTCAAAGTGCTGGGATTACAGGCCTGAGCCACTGTGCTGATCTCTTGCTCATTTTTAAACACTTCCTCATGTGTTTCCTCATCAGCCTCTTTAAGTATCACAATTTCTTCCATGTCTCCCCAAATCATATTTAAGTATTGATCATAAGCCTGGTTTATGCTGCCAGCGTCTAAACCTAACATTTTTCTTTCCTTTGTTTTCTATCCCCTCTTCCTCAGGAAGCTGGCTTCATTATACCACTGGCCACTGTGTTTAAATTGGGGACAAAAACCTCAAGTTGGCCACTCTGGTAAAGATGAGGAAGAAGCAAGAGGGAGAAGGAGGCAGAGATGTGATAATTCTGCATCTCACGTTTATGTATAATGGCAGTGCTTCTTGGGAACTTTAAGCAGCTTTTCCTGTTACCCAACTAGTAGGTTGCAGAGCTAGGAGTTGAGCCTGGTCAGTGAGGCTCCCAAATCCCTCTGTTTGTTTCCATTACATCACACTATTTTCCATAAGAAGCAAAATCCCATTAAATGCAGGTATTGGGTAACAATGATAGGCTGACTTTGTGTGAATAGATGGAATCATGAAGAGTTCACTAAATAGGTCTGGAAGTGTGATTTTCGAAAAAAGGCAGACTAAGTGAAGGACTTCCTTCAGATCATCAACACTGTGAATGACAAAGCTTTGCTCTGTATCATGCTGGATGTTTTGGCACCATGCTAGGTATTTTGAAGAAGACACAAATCATCCTATAAGACTGCACTCAAGGGACTTACAGTGTAGCTCAAGGAAAAAATCAGGCACAGAGCACACTCAAACTGGATAATTAAGGTGAGTTTAAGGGACTAATTTATTTATAAAGATGTGAGTGAGGTTTAGGGAATTGGAAAAGTGTTATTGCTTTTTTACGCAATACCCTGGGTTCTAGCAACAGCAGGATTTGGTCACCCATGCCTCCAAAACATGCTGGGGAAAGGGAAAGGAACAGAGCATAGCTGCATGAAGAGGGAGAACACACCCCTCTTTCAGAAGCTGTGATCTTCAGTAAAGGGACGCAACCAGCCCATGCTGACCCATCCGGGAGGGAGCCATAGTAATAAATACCCCAACCTCATTTTCTCCACTCTTGAACCTTCTGGTGATGCTTCCCATTAGCTAACCCCAACCAGAAGCTAGAGGGCAAGCATTGATTCTATCTGCAAAGACTAGTTCCTTAGGCACAACAAAAAATTAAAAAAAGGTAAAAGTGAATCTGAAAGGGCAATTTATAAACTTTAATTTATAAAATAAATTAAAAGGTAGTTTTATAAATTGATAGACCATTTAAGTGTATTGCGGAGGTTGCAGATTACAAGAATATTGCTGTAAATTATTTTGTGAAATATACCTTCATGCATTTTCAATTCACAGTATTATTTATTTTATTTTATTTTTTATTTTTTTAGGGATGGAGCCTCGCTCTGTTGCCTAGGGTAGAGTACAGTGTCTATTCACAGGTGTAATCACAGTTTGCTGCAGCCTTAAGCTCCTGGGCCCAAGGGATCCTCCGACCTCAGTCTTCCAAGTAGCTGGGACTACAGGCATGTAGCACTATGCCTGACAACAGTATCATTTTAATATATCCTGATGTTCTCTTATGGGTTACTTTCATGTAAAAATGGCCCAAATTAGATGTTGAGATAGGCTGGCTTCCTGGCTTACCCAAAGTGAGAGGTGAGGTGAGCTAAAGCCTTCTGAACTGAGCACATTTCAGTTGCATTGTATAAGCAATATTTTTGCTCATTTTTTTCCCCGTTGCATAACTTTATTCCACACACTCAGATTTTTCTCCATGCCATTTTCCATCATTTTTTCATATCTCTCTCTCTTCCATTTTTATTTTCTCCTTTCCTCCAATAAAAAGGGCTGCTTGACTCACACCTCCATCAACAGACGCTTGGAAATAATGCACCATGGCAGGTTTTCAAATATTTTTTCTTTCCTCCCTCCAGAGAGAAAAACAAAAGGGTAAAGATGGCCTGAGGGATTGGATCAGAACATTGTTTTACTGGAATTTGCAGCTGTTTCTGGATTGCAGAAGTCACTGGAGGGAAACAATGTGCTCAGGGACTGAAGGAAATGGTTTGGCTCCAATCTGTCCCAAGTCATCTGGGGAGGAATGTTTTCATTGTTGCAAAGGTTGCTACTCCACACAGATTTTGCTTCTCTCTACAGAGAGTGTGTGTCTGAGGAGAGGCATGGGAAATTCACATAGCATGGGAGCAAAACAAGGCCAAGGTAAAATGCCAGTGAAAGGCAAAGGCAGAAAAATAACTGGCTTTTGGTCAGGGCACAGATCATTTTCTGGGTTCTGGCTTAGACATGCAGCTCATGAAAGAGTTAACCTTTATTACAATTTAAAGGCTAGGTAAGCCAATGAGATTTTCAATTTTACTAAGCAGGCAAAATGACGTTGGGCTTTATATAGACAGGTGGATCCAGTAATAAATGAATGAGAGACTCATTTGGCTTCTCATTGATGAAAAGCTGGATTTATGTGTGTGAGTACTGCTGGCTCCGTATCCATATGGAACAAATGAATCTGCGCACACCTTTGCACTCCTACGTATGCATTACTAGTACTGTTTTAAGTGGCCTCTGGAACTGTGTGTTTTCCCTTCCAGGGTGCTCCTCCTGCCATGCATCCTGTCATGGAGGGAGCCTGTAGAATACCTGCAGTTAGGCAGAAATCAGGGTAGGTGGACAACGGTGGTCACCCAGCCACCTACCAATACTCATTCCAGCTCCTCTTGGTAGATATTCCTGTTTACTTATAGGTTCACATATATTCTTTCTCCTCCTCCTCCTCCTCCTCCTCCTCCTCCTCCTCCTCCTCCTCCTTCTTCTTC